AGACATTTCAGGATCTCGACCCTATCTAGTTGAACCGTATTGTCAACTAAGGTGGCCTCACCAGCCAATCTGTCGGCCTTTTCATTTCCCCTAACACCTGCATGGCCAGGGCAGAAAATCCATGTGAGCGATCGTATAGGCGTTGGTTCGATAGCTCGATGGATTCAAGCTATCGAATCAAATCGAACCAAGTGAATTCATAACCCATAAACAATTCTCACACCTGCTTACATAAACTGAATACGCAAACACTTTCTTTGTCCTTCCTTCTCTCTATTTCCTGCATAATGTTGATAGAGTGCAAACCAATAACCATTTTTTAAAATAGGACATACCATTTTTGTTCAGTCAATAAAACAACACAATAACACAAATTGAGCACTTTTATGTAAATATGAAATGAAAAAAACCCAAACCCCTCAAGGCATTTTTCAAGAAAATTTGCTGTTCAACGACGAAGCTGTAGACAACCAGGACGTAAGTGTACACAAGACTCTTATTACTTTAACTCTTTATCTCCGGCAAGCTGCTCCCAGCAGCTCGTGGCCAGAACCGCTGTGCCGGTGAGCCGGCTCGGGCACATTCCTTCACGATGACTTTGACATCAAATTACTTTTCTGCAAATTGCCGAAAACAGGTCTCTTTAACCGGAAGTTCGTTCATTAGATGAAAGTTTGCTAGTTTCGATTTGATGACCCGTTTAATGACGTTTTTGTTCTTTTTAGATTTAGCACCAAAAAAGGGCCCCGCCATAGTGGGTTTACCCCTCTCGGAGATAAAGAGTTAACCTACACATCTACACGAAACTTTCAGTACCAGCATGTCTTTCAACCTTTTAATGAAGTATTAGAGATGTTTCAAAAGGATCAAAATCCAATACAGAAATAAATAGATCCAAAAAAGTTTTACATTCGAACATTTAAAGATATAGGCTGTCACAAAACAATAGTAAGATGCACATACAACTATACAGCATCACATTCATCTTCATAAGAGAGTGATGTTTGCATTGACTTATAATGCACTCACAGACTCCATTCTCTCGTTCCCTCTGTGTCTGGTCAACAAAAAGTTTTGTTTTTCTTGGGACATTCAGTTTCACATTCTGAGCAGCAGGCGGGCCAGCTGACATGTCCCTCTCCTCAAACTTGGCCGTCCTTTTGAGAATCTTCACATAGAGACCCCCTCCTGAAGAAATAGATATCAAATTATAGGAATTCATGACAGACCAGAATTAAAACCATAACAGACAACAGAACCTGTTGAGTATACTTGAAATTGCTGTCTCATTTCTCATTATTTGTACTATGAAGTTTAACTAATACAGTAAAAAGAGAAAGATGGAAAGAAGACGAAGAAATTGAATCAAAATAAACACTAAAACCCTGACAAAATGAACTTCACGAGACCAAAGAATTTCTTTATGTTAAGCAGATTAAATTAGTGTAAAGGAAATATAAGTTTTTTCACAAAAGGCAGCATCCATTGAATGCGAAAGCACACAAACTGAAATAAACCCTAAAAATAAAAAACTGATCACTTACTTTTAGTAGACATGACAAGGGTCCCATCCTCCCTTCCAAATCGACCAAATCTCATGCCAGTCACTACGTCATCCATCTTAAGTACGTCTACCAAGAATTTTTCTTTGTATATGTGAACTTCCTGGTTGCTCAGGGAAACCAAGATGCCAGCAAAACTGCGAGGCTTGTAGTCAATCACCTCCAAGGTCATGATGCTGGCAGGCATGCGCACTGTCCACAGTTTTTTACCCTGTGCAGAAAAAATATCAAGTCTTTAACTGGAACCTGCAAATCATGCATCAACATTCAGTTGAATGGCAAGAGGCTACAACACAAAAATTAAAAAAAATTTTCTTTACTTATTTTACCCTAAAACAACAGAACAGCTCTCTCACTGGTGTCAAATCAGCACTCAGATTTTTAGTTTCATGTAAACCTGCTAGTGCTACCAGTGAATTAGAAACTTCCTGTTTGCAAGTGAAATCACCAGACTTATAGCTTTCCCTCATCAAAAGTACCCGTATTGACTTTAAATATGCCCCTGATCAAGACTAATTAACCTTTTGTGTCAGCCTTTCATGAGATGAGAAAAAAAAAATGGTGCTTATCTCAGAGTGAGTGTTAATAACCTCTCCCGCATATAGCACTGACAACCTCAACCATCTACAAAAAAAAAGTAACTGCCAACATTGGACTTCAAGATGACTGGTGAATATTTACACAAAAAGTCATAGCTTGTATGTTCACGTGAGGTCACAAAGCACATGACGGAACCTGCACACTACATTCAGCTTCGACACTTAACTAGGCCTACAAATACAGTTGAACCTGCTCTGACAGCCACCTGTCCTAGAAAATCAGCTGTGCAAATGACTGTTTCCCACTTACCCCCGTCTTGCACTTTTTATATCGTAATGACACTGTCCAGGTTGTCCACCTGTCTAAGACAACTACTTTTCTCTTTCACAATGGGTGGCCATCTTGGACAATTCCAATTGTACATCATAAACTGGATAAGTCCTAAATTTTTCACTGTAAATTTTAAAATGTTTCAGTTTGATGTGCAACTCAAATAAAACAAAATTTCAAATGGCTTCAATCTCTTAAAGTTTGGGTAAACAACAGAGCAGTCTCTGAAACCTTTGATGTGAAACAATGCAGAGTCTCGTCCATGCAAGCAACATAGATGTTCTTGTTGATCCTCTCCATGCCAACAGGTTGTGAGTTGAGCTCTATCATGTGCTTGGTCACGTCCTTGCTGCCTCTGTTTATGTAGAGAGCAAAATCAAAATTATTGCAGAGGAAACAAATTCATGAAGACACAGAAGAAAATAATAAGGAGAACATGACAGGGCCCAGTTGGAGATGAAGTGGAAAGTGGGCAGTGGCAATGGATTGAATAAACCCTCAGGTGCATCCCTTATTCACCACATGCAGAGTTCTGCCTAGGAGGCAGAAAGATTTCATTTCTCTGAAGTAACAGGGGCAGAAATATCAAGTTAAAGTTTGACTCAAACATGTACGGACAAATTTTGAAAATTGTTTTGAGTTATCATCCCAGAAGCTAAGTGGTAGGTTAGTTCAGGCTCACAAAAATGTCAAGAATGTGTTGGCAACACTGCATTTAAATAGGTGATCACTAGCCAGTGTCATTGAGTAAGATATTACAACACTGGTTCAAAAACAGGGTGCTGCACAGTAAGGGACCAACAATGGTGTATTTTACAACTGACTGTATTGTTGTAATACTATGTGACAGTAATGACTTCTTTTACAAATATACTGTTGCAACCATTGTAAGCCAAATGTTCCCATGAGGATCAGAAAGAGTGATTTCTAATCTTATCTTAACTCACTTCAGACGGGTCACACAACAGTTGCGTGACCCCCGCCGCGACGCTCGCGACGGGTCTCACAAGCCCTGCGTGACCAACTTTTGAATTTTTTTTTCGCTCTACAAATCACGCACGGATCGCGAGACCCGCCTCGTACCCTTGTTTGGCCAAGCCTGAGCTACTTAGACTTCGTTTCGTATCTCTGGGGCCGGTAGTTTTTAAGTTATTGAAGGTGAAGGACAGTGACTCCAACTGGGGTTGAACAGACCGGAACTCGCGCTTTGTTTTTTTCGATACAGCTCATAGTAATCCGACAGTCGCGTCGTAGTAACGGTCGAAGAAGTCGCATGAACAAGAATCACATAATTTCGCCGTTTTCTATAGTTCTGTGCGTTTTACTAGTTCTAGTGTCTCAGAATATGATGTGTCTAATAGTTAGGATCCTGGATATGTACCCGAACACGGCCCGAGTCGTAGTTCTAGGGCTAGATCTAGCACTAGTACCAGTGTTGTTTTTCGCGCAACGAAATCACAACGTCGTGCCGTACATCTGTCTCATGTAATTCAGTGTATGGGTCTGAATCAATGCACAGACCAGCTCAAATATTTTCACCAAACACTCGCACATGTATACAAATCAAACCAGAACACATTAAACTTTTATTTTTGTTGTTGCAGTGAATTTCATTCTACTTGTCACGTCTCTGGAAATTTTTCGGAAAATCAAATTCATGCCAATTTTTAAAAAATCATACAAATTAAAATATTAGACTTAGACAACTTTAATTTTTTGTATTAGATTAAGCTTGAATGTTACTTTACTGTGTCAAAAAATGATTACAATAGGGTAATTCTGAGAGTTGTGGTGATTTTTTAAAATACCCCCAAAAACGCCAGTCTTCAACGCTTCTGACTGGTGAAAGGGCCCAGTCGCAAGTGAGTTAAGAACATTACAAGAAGCAGTTCTCTAACACAGCATAAGCAACAATTTTAGAGAATAACGCAAAACTGAGTGGAAAATTAAAATCTTTAGTTTCAGCTTGCCACCAGCTGAAAGTCTAATTCTTCTCAACAGCATTTTTTACAAATACACTTTAGAAATAAAAAAAAATCATAATCAGTATTAGAAAAGAAATCTACCTCTTCAAAGTGTACACACATCCATTCCTGCAGGAGACGACGATGCGATAGTCTACATCAAACAAGCCATTGACGCTGATGAACACAGGAACACTGGGCAAGTCCATCTAGGACAAAGCAAGGGGCCATTATTTAGATGGAGTCTACAACTAATCAGTATCACAAAGATCACCTTTCGTCAAAAACAGATTCCATTTCATGAGGAAAATCAATTCTAAAGGGTAGTTGAATTCCAGTGGCTTACCTTAGTTCATATATAATTATCATTTCCAGTGTATTTATTACAATTTGAGGTATTAGATTAGTAGGACTAGTCTACAAAAGACTAAAATATTGAAAGCAAGTCAGCTCAATACAATAGTGGCTATCTTTTGCCCTTTACACAATAGGACAATAGAAACATTTGTTAAAAGAAGTAGAAGCAGCAAAATAATAATCTAAAGAAGATGTGAAAAGGGTTATTTGTTTTCTAAGTGAGAAAATAGTACAATAGAAATCTGAAATAACAGGGATGGTGGAACCAGAGAAAAATTCCTGTTACATCAGATCCCTGTTAAATCAGAAACGAAAGGGAAGTAAAAATTGGTGAGCTAATCCAGCTGTTTTTATTAATGAGTACTTTCCCTTGTCCGGGGTTTTGGTCAAGTGGTAGGCCCGCGCATCGAAGGGCTAGATTGAAGTCTGCAGCACACCAGCACACCGCAGCCCTCTCTCGCTTCACCCGCTGCGTGTGCTTGCAGTGGCATGGTTTGCATGGGCTTGCTTCATCACTGCATTACTCTCTCTCTCTCTCTCTCTTTTACTTTTTACACATTGTTAACGAGTCTTTGTTCCAGCTATAACTGATTGGGCTCCAATGAGGCCCTGTTGTTGCCGATAACTTTTAATAGAGACAAAGGGTAGAAAAAAACAGGGATTTTAAAAGTCCCTGTTATTACCGGATCCCTGTTATTACCGGGCCTGTTATATGGTTTCCACTGTATTCAAAAGAGATGACGGAGAATGCAACAGATACTTGCAACCTGGGTGCGTTGATTTTTAAAAAACTAACCACTTAAAAAAAATATAGAGACAGACAATTGAAAATTTCAAAAACCAACAGGTACCAGACGTCATGTAATCACTTACGGTGGCCAACACTGTGAAGGCCTCTGGGTCCAGAATATAGATGGACTTGCTCTCTGTGCCGAGAACGAGACAGCTAATGGCATCCTCATCCGCCACAGACTTCTTCATTGTGGTCAAACATGTAATCACAGTCTGAAAAATTTAAGAGTTTCAGTTGGGTTTTTTTTATAGTTTGGGGTTTTACGGCGCTCGCAACTGCATAAGGTCATATGAGCGCGCAGAGTTTCAGTTTGATGATGAACTAGGACGACTTTTATGCCACATTCCTCCAAATCCAAAACCTAAACAGCTGACTATTCTGAAATATGAGACAACTAAGTATTAATAAACAATTCACCCTCTACACTATTGAATTAGTCTCAAGGGGTGCTGTAATAACAGCAACAACATTTCTGTGTATTCAAAAGACAAGATGACTGCATCCATTTCTACATCCGATAGGATAAAGTGAGAAACCTTAAAATCCCTCAAAATGACTTTAGTACGGAAAGGGATTCATAAGTGGAAAGAGGTAGCATCTGAGTGGGGTTTTTTCCACAATACATTCTACAGTTTTCATTTAAAATCAAAGCTCAGAAAAGAAACCTCACTACACAAGGGGCCTGTTACCCTCAGGAAGAGACGCCCACTAGAAACAGTAAAACTAAGCACTTGCAATTATTTGTCAAGAATAAATGAAAAGTACTCAAAATAAAGAACACACATTACTGCCTATATTACACATACATGCAGAAACAATATATTGGTAGAACAAACCTGTTTTTTCAGAGGTGTGTTTTTATGCACATTAACAAAAGCCTCTATGTTGTTTGGTTCAAGCTGTAAAAGTCTCAGAGTCCTCACAGTTAGAGAACATCCCTCTTGCCTGAAATACAGAATCATTCAAAGTGACCAGTCTTCCGATTGCCAGTAAAATGATTTTATCAGAAAATAAAATAATATACCTGAACAAGCATACACATCTCACAGTTTTCACAATCTAAATTTATTTTCTCCCTGTTCACGTAATTTAAATTAAACGCACAAGTACATATTAAAATAAAAGTAAAAGACAAACGAAAAGAATAAAATTGAACCATTTCAGCTCATGAGCAAAGGTGCTATTAGATGTGACACACAGCATACAACCATTATAATATATTTTCTAGTGCTACTTTGCTTATTCAATCGTCCTGTACAGTTTATGTTATTCATAAAATTAAACATTGATAAAGTACCCGCCTCATTTGTTTTATTTTGTTACCAAAGCAACCTCTTTCCTTAAACGAAGAGATGCTGAAACCATAAAGTTATATTGTCATAGGAATTGATTTTAAATATCAATTAAGCCCACATACCTTAGAGACTCTAGCATATCCCTCATACTGAATACATTCACTTGGTCCTGTGAAATCAGAGTAAGCAAAATAAAACAAAATATCATAAGAAGTACACAAACAAAAACTTTGCCTGACCTTTGAACATAAAAAACTACAATAACAGGAACAATGGCTTACACCAGAAAAGTTTACTTCTTTCATATTTATAGAAAAATGATAGAGCTTTTTAAACATTTCACAACAGTCTTTGCGCTATCCTGAAAGCTAGAAGATATGAGAGAAAAAATATCATAGACGTTTAGAAAGGAACAAAACAACAAAACAAAAAAGAAATCAAAAAGAAGGGAAAGAATATTGAAAACTGAAAGAAGAGAATGATTATGAGATTTTAGCAGAGGAAATCTATCAAGGATACATATCCTTGTTCGACAAGAAGAACACAACATACACTAAAAGCGTATTGTTGATATTCACTCAATTATATCCTGAAATCTATATACTTGGCAACTCTGAAACACATTTTTCACTTTTCCCATAAATCTATGACAGCTACAGAGTTGAAAGTTGGCAAGTACGTGCAAAAAGATAGATTGATCCCCATGACGAAGCCCGATTTTTTATTCATTCATGTCCTGAATTTATAAAAATATATTTGACTAAAAGTTCCCATCTTTCTTTGGCCTTTGTGATTATTCCACTGAGAAACAAAACAAATCTGCGTATCTGTCCTCCACAGCGGAAGTGCCGTAAGGGATATTTCGCGAGGCGCATATTGTTTTGAAAGTATAGATCTAGACCTAATTTTTTGCATCTCTCAAGATTCATTGCTCCATTCCAGTAGAGTGTAAATATAGTAGGCCAATGACTTTCAGTTGAACATTCCTTTCATCGAAAGGGGACCCAGCTAGTTTGTCAATATGTAAAGTTGAGCAAACATGCTGAATTAAATAATAAATGACAACAGAAATGAAAATACAAACATCTTTAGCCTGGTTCCATAAGTCTTCTTCCATGGGGTGAATATCTAAAGGTGGCAAGGTGAACTTGAAATAAGGTCTCAGATTCTTGTACACATAAATGTAGGGTCCTGAAGCGACTGCAATGGCTGTAACAAATACATACAAATTGCAAATTCAAAAAATGGGGTACTAAATTTCCTGGACTAAAACATGCTACTAAAACTATCGCTGATACATATTTTATAAAGATCTAAAATAAAACACTCTTAATCTTAAAGCTTTGGATATCATGAGAAGTTTCAAAGTGAAAGTTAAAAGCGTATTTTGCGAGAGCCTTAAAGTACATATATGCCACATTCTCAAAAATTCCATTTCCCCAACCAAATATACTAAGTACATTGACACCATGCAGGAAGCTGTGAGACACAGTATTTTCATGAGTTTGGATCTTATAGATGAGAAGCCTACTCATCATAAGGACCAAGCTGCTTCACAGCAAAGTGAATTCTGTCCTAGTATTACATGGCCAACAACTAACTGCTGAAATTCTGCGTGTACCTGGAGTTCTTGGCTCCAGAGTGTCCATGTAAAATGTGACCACTCCAGTAGGAAGATCAATTATGGTATGTTCACTCATCAGCGTTGTATCTGGAATAAAAGCACAATATGTGTCACAATGCAGTGGAATCATGCAGGTGCTCGTCAATTTTTGGGGCATGTGGAGTTATTGGTATTAGCTGAAAGCATAGGGAGGCATTGCGCTGTCTTTCAACAACAACAACAACAACCTGAAAGCTTGTTCATTTGACCATCTTTTGATGAAAAAAATACACATTTATCTTGGTTAGGAGTCAAGATATTTGTGATTGAAGGAGGTCAGGGCTGGTTGGTTTCAAAGGTAAAATTAGCGAGAAAAATGGTCGCCAAACTTTGGTGATTTCCAAAGCTTGAGAGTCCTTGGAAACTGAAAATTTACATTTGTTGTGCTTAAAATCAATGTTTTTCAATAAAATCCACGCATAAATATGTTTTTAAATGGACATAAAATGTGCTGAGCCAAAAAACAAAATTAAAAAAAAATTTGTCAAACTTGAGGGAAAATGCCGATATCTTCCATTTCTTTATTTTGACGAACGCCTGATTTCACCACACTGCCTCACATATATATATTATATATATATATGGACAATAATAACAAAAAATATTTTGAGAAACTGACATCAATTTACTTTTCCTCTTTTCACTAAAGATATAAGGGCTGGTTTGTCAGTTGTACTTTCACATTAAACTAGAAGCTACACAAAAACTCAAATGAAAAAGTTATTACCCCAAACGAACAAGATGTATTATTTCTTCTTTATAAGGAATGACTATACTAAATAGTGATCATACATCACGAAAATGTCTATTTTGCAGTAAAAAAAATTTCATTTAACTACAGCACTACAAAATGTAGTTCTTAACACAGAAACTCTCTCTAGACTTTGGCCCCCCCCCCCCCCCCCCCCCAATCTTGTTTCCCCTTGTAACAAAAAATCTCAATTTATTGCTTGTGCAAAGACCACTAAGAAGACCGCTCATTATGTCTCTACTTTCCTTGTACAAAAGCAAGTTTTGTCTACTTACTTTTGTAAACTTTAAGCTTCATGTCATAGCTTCCAGTGCCAAGATCTGCCACTATCAGCTTCCAGTCTCCATCTGCCTGAATGTCTGAGAGTGTGAGGCACTGGGTGAAGGTATACAAGGATGCCACAGGGTCGTGGTAGGCATCCAGCCATTTTTCATTTCCTCCAGACCTATGGGTAAGATTGAAATTTTGTTTGAATGATACCACATAACTACACACAATCAAAAGGAACAATGTTAATGAAAAAAGTAAGGCTTAACCAAGTGGAAGTGTAGCGGTGATAAAAGAAATCTACTGAGATAAAGAATGAGCAAAACATCTAAACGGAGTAGTGGCTTTGATCTTTAAAAAATCAGCATTGCTCTTTGGATCACCCCCTCTACAACTAAAGAATGCAGTCAATAGGGAAAGTCTGCAAGGGACTCTTTGTGACCTATTTAGTTTTAAGCACCCAATCACATGCCGCCTAGTGATCACATGGGGCATACCAGCAGGCAAGTTTGTTCAATTTCTCGTCTAGTTTCTGGGTCTAGTATGTTATCGGAGGATGGATCGTAATTTTAAGTCGGTAAGAAAAATGAACAACACACTGGGATCTGAAATATTACAGCAACAAAGAATAGATCTAGAGTAATCGTACTGGTTCGGGCAGCACGTTTTTTTTTTGTGTTGCTGTCGGGCACTGGAGTACAAAAAGATCGTTTAAAACTTTGTTTTCAAATCTAGCCCCAAAAGAGTGGCACACAAACCTAAAGCAACCTCCCTTACTTTCGTTGAAACAACAGTTACGGCGATATTTTGCTAAAAATAGTCCTAAAGACAGCTTTTTCTTCATCAACTGAGCAAAACAGCGTGAAGCTCTTTCCCCGGAAGAGTTAACATTGGTTGTGGATGAAGGAGCCTGTGACCTAGATTCTACGTTTTGGTAGACTCTGAAGGCTGGAGAGTTATTTGCATATGAGGCCCTGTCAAGGATGAAAGAGAATTTGCCGTTTAGTCTCGCCGTTTTTGCCCAAAGGGGGGGTGCCCGGATTGTAACATAAAATCCATAGTTTCTCATCCTTCGGGCACATAAGATAATATAGAGCCAATGGTTATATAACAAAGAATAAAGAATTTGTGCATAATTTAAATAATAGTAGAGTCAGATAGCATATTAACTCAGTCAGACACCAGTGTAATAGAGTCAGATACCAGTGTGTAATACAGTCGGATATCAGTGTAGCCGAGTCAGATCCAGTGTAGCTGAGTGAGCCAGATGCCAGTGTAGTAGAGTCAGATACCACGTAGTAGAGTGGGTCAGATACATACTCATTAAAATAGCTATAAATGGTGAATACCACTTTAGACAAACTATCATTGTGTCCAAGTGTTGATAACAAACATTAAAAATCATGTTATTAAGCTTGCAAAGAAACAAATGTGATAATAATTGAAAATGACCGAATGTCAAAATACTGCCCGAATCCATGAGAAAACCAAAAAATGCGACCGAACTCATAAATAAATCGGGCGTCACTTTTGCACCCAGTAAGGGCCTCAAACATGAGAACAAGCTGAAACAGGTCATTCCTGGGGTCATCCAATCACATGACTTCCTGTAGCTGGTTTCGGTTTGTCTCTAGGGCAAGGCAGATAGGAGATATAAAGCTTTAAAGTCGACGTGCCTGTTTTCGTCCTTATTTTGACAGAAGGTAATATTACTCTACATGTGAAGGTTCTATAGTCTATGCACCAACTCCTCTTAATTTTAGAAACAACGGAAGAAAATCACACAATTAAACTTAGGGCCTAAATAAAAATATCATATTTACTAGTCTAGATCTATATTACTATATTTATTACTCACATTATTATATTCAAACTGAAATATCCAGCTGATTCCTATTCCTCCCAGCTATTTATTTTTCATCAATCAGTTGCAGTATCCTCCTGCGATTTTGTAGCCAGGTTGAGGCTGAGGGGTCTTGGATGTTGTGAGTGACAACAGTAGTAGTGTAACAGTGCAAATGGCCTGGGCCTTTGTCTGTGTTCGCAGAAGAACTAGACCTGGATCCGTTTGCACCTTCAAAAAGTTATGAACGATTTTAAAAACAATAGACGTAGACCCTATCCTCCTATGAATAGAATCAGTCAGATCCGTTGCCGACGAAAACATTTGACGGCCATCTTTAATCACCTTTAGTATAAAAAGCATAACTTAACTTGATTCAAGAAAATATTCAGAACAAGTATTTAGTGCAAGGGTCAAACTGCTTATATAAATATTTTTTTCTACTCATAAACGCATTTTTTAAAAATTTCCACATATTTTAAAGAATAAATTAATTCATGCTATTTGTAACGAAAAATAGTTGTTCTCATTCCATTCTGACTATTCCAACCATTTTGTACTCAATAGTTGCCATTTTGGATTTCATAAAAAGACATGATACATAGGCCTTGTGTGCTGTGGGGGTTTTTCTTCAGTAAATCGGTTTGTGTTAACCTAATTGATTATATTCTGTGACCACATTATCATTTCTAAATGCTGACATATTATTATTAGAAAAGTACTATTGGAAGCAACACTATTCTCTATCTTTATATAAGAGGCTGTCCACCCCCATCCCGTTCTAAGGACAATGACAGCACGATTGCAATAAAATCTGGTATATTGACAAGTACTGGCGGATTTTGTAAACGCACTCCCGTTAAAAGGTAGGCCTAGAGTAAGTTTTAGCAATCTACTGAATTATCGCCTGCTTTATGTAACTGAGCTGACAGCAGGTAAGTGTAAATCTAAAACTGCACGTCTATGCTAGTTTCGAAGTTTGTTTGAGTTAACCCTTCGTCCCTTCCTTCGAAGAAATTTCGCCTTCTAGACTAAACTAACGAAGTGGCTAGCCGTACTTAAACTTAAGTACGGCTAGACTGAGAGTCTGGCCGTACTTAAGTACGGCTAGACTGCCAGTCTAGCCGTACTTCGATCTAGGTTTGGCCCAATCGACTCAAGCCTGTTAAGTACACAGGTCTCATTAGATCTAGATCTAATCTAGTAATTATTCAGGTTCAAATACATGCAAGTCAGTAAGGCACCCTTTGGTTTTGTCTGAAATACAATACTTTTGGCATTGCAAACTAAAAATTTCATTTACAATTCAGCCATCAATATTAAGTACGGCTAGCCTGCCAGTCTAGCCGTACTTATCTTAGGCCCTATTAACATTAGAAAACAGGAGGTTTAAAATACATACACTGTCATTAAGGCACCTGGTTTCGTCTCAAATACAAATGCTTTAGGTACTGCACACTAAAAATGTATATTTACAATTCAGTAGGCCTATTTTTTGTAAATGGTCAGTCTAGCCATCATATTAAGAATAAGTACGGCTAGACTGTGAGTCTAGCCGTACTTAAGTACGGCTAGACTGCCAGTCTAGCTGTCATTAAGTACAGCTAGCCTCTTCCCTAAACTAAACTAAAGTAAAATCTAGATTCCTAGGCTACTTCCTCACACTATTATGAAATAACTTATTTGATTTTAAAAATGGCCACCTCTATTCTCATCCCGGGTGAGAATAGTGCAGGTGAGTCTTTTGGCTATTCTCACCCGGTGCGCGTTCACCGTTATAGCCTAGATCTAGGCCAACCAATTTTTCGTTCACCCTAAACCACAGAATTCTACACTGTGTATCAGTGATAACAGAAAAATTGTAGAATTCTGTGCCGTGAACAAACGTTCCATTACTACTGTTAGCCTACTAAAAGCGTACAATTTTGTCTGTGGGCAGTGGAGAGAGAGAAAGAGAGAGAAAGAGGAGTAGCGCGAGAACTTCCGGGCAAAACAAAATGGCGACCCGCGTAGTTCGGCTCGATTCGAAAAGTTAAATAGATCTAGCCGTAGCATCTTTGTAGACGACCAAATTAATTTACTTTTGTGTTTTAACACCATTTTTTAACTTTGTTTTGGTCAATTTGATCATCCACACCGATAGACAGTATTCAGAAAGAGATAGAGAGAGAGAAGAGGGGAGGAGTAGATCTTGTGAGAACTTCCGGGCAAAACAAAATGGCGACCCCCGTAATTCGGCTCGATTCGAAAAGTGAAATAGCCATAGCATCTTTGTAGTCGATAAAATTAGCTTACTTTTGTGCTATAACGTAATCTTTTCTTTGCCTTTATCCATTTGATCATCCACATCGATAGAAAGTATTCCGAAATTAGGAAAAACAGGTCTTGTTTCACACCGGGTGAGAGTAGCCTACGGTGGCAAGTCTCACCCGGGGTGAGAGGTCGATCGTATTTCTATTCTCACCCCGGGTGAAAATAGCCACTTCCTTTAAAAATACTTCAAGGAGAACCAGCCAATGCCAGTGATGTTGAATAACTTTCACTACTGTCCCACGCTCAGGTATTGTTATAGATTCTAAATATAAATCTTTTCTTATGTTTCCCTCCTATAATTTGATGTTTTGCTTTGGAAGGGGCTGTCCTCACCCGGGGACATGCGATTAAACGTAGAAATACGCAAACTCTTTTTAGGTACGGTGCGCATCTTGTTTGACGTCAGAATAGGATACCCCTCCGATCAGGTGACTACATCTAAGTATAGCCAACCGCATGGCACCAAAGATGTAAGTGTACAAAAATTGCCGTAAAGACGCTGGAGGATTAGATCTAGATTCTAGATCTAACCCCCCCACCTCTCCTGCGTTCTTTATCACTAATAAAATATACATTTAAGGAAGTCAGGCAGCTGCATAACAAAGAAAGTTTTGGATTGGAACCCACAGGGCAAGTCAAGGGGAAGACCTCGTGGAACTTGGAGAAGAATCACAAATATCGATGTGCAGAAAAGTGGGAAGACATGGAATAACATCAAGAGGCTAGCCCAGGATAGAGAAAAGTGGAGGGTGTTTGTCTGTGGCCTATACCCTGATGCAGGGTGAGAAAGGCAATGATGATGATGATGAATATACATTAAAAAACAAACACTTGTGTTTTCCCATAAGGGACAAACAGTAAGCCAGTCTTTTTCTATATTGTGTGGGCCAACATATTTTCTATATTCTGATCATCTAGTGATTTACTTAGTTTTCATTCATGATTTTACAAATTTTCCGATAACTATACTTTTGTTGAGAGCAAGAATAAACTGTATAGTTATTTATATAAATGTTGTGATGCACGATCCAGTATTACCAACTTTAATCAACAAAATGATCACCTATAATTTTTGCCTTGGTGCCCTAGAAAATTGCCTCTGTGCCCTCTGATTTTTAGGTTATTTTTGCCTGCCCTCCTGAACACGTAATTCAAGCCCTGAGATCACACATACATGGTCACTAAAATTGTCACACAATTGTTTTCAAGAAAATTTCAAATCTAATGGCAAAACATTAGGGGGGGGGGGGAGGGGCATGCCCCTCTGAGACCCCAGCATTGGTCCACAGCATGAAAATTACTATGCAATTAGGCTTATAAAGTGTAGTATAGTTCAGATAAAATCCATTAAATATTTCAAAAATGATTAATTTGCGATGGATGTAAAATTATAAAGTCAATGTTCGTGTAAAACGGATAAAAGTGAAAAGAAAAGGGAATACATACCTGAGCATAAGATGGTTTTGAACGTAAAATAATGCTGAAAAGTGCTATAAATACCTTGCTTAGCGTGAGACAAATGTGAAAGTTAAATATTATTGTAGTGAAAAGTGCTATAGAATCAGCTTTCTTTACACTGCGACTACACAAACTGCTTCATCAAGGGAGCATCAAACCATAAAAGCTTTGAATAAGCATCAACTGTCGTATATATCTAGAGCAATCGTGCAACTATTTAAGAAAAATATTTAAGTGTTTAAACATTGATCAGGATCATGATTATCCCTACTTCCTCTGAACATGATCTTAACCAACAATTTTGACAATTTTAAGGTTGTATTGAGTCAGAAATTGGGTAAAGGTTTCAAACTCACTTGACCGAATCTTTGCATAGTTCTCCAAAGCAAAGATATTGAGTCTTGAATGCTTTTTGCAGTCTCTCCTCGATTTCCCACCAGTCCAGTGGTCACGTGTGACAACTCTTGATCATAAAACGGTACTCTAGGATTGTGGATATCCACAGTCAGCGTCACAGCACTGCTACCTTATTTAACGACACAATGCGGGTGTTGGCAAACGCAGTGTTTACAAAGTGTCACAAAATTCCCCCCGACATAGTATCCCAGTTGCCACGATATCATATTTAGAAATTTGTTGCTACCAAAGAAACACATGTGGACATTACATTTACTTGAAGTTGATATATATTCTGTTCTCTGCAGTTAGACGGGTGGGTGGTGCACAGACCAAAAGATCATTTGTAAATGTTGTGACTTCATGGTGATTTTTATGTTTGCTTAAAATGTTGCGAATTACAGCAACCCATCTTTCTAATTTGAAAGCAGAAGCATGTATACATGAACTCTCCTCCCTTCTTGTCTTGAAAAGCCATTCCAAACCTGTATTTCTCATTCTGTATCCGAAGCACAGTGTTTTTCCTCAAAATGTTGTTTAGCTAGAATTTTGCTTCTGAAATGTTTTCTGTACTGTACATGTAATATGGCGAGGCAAGTTTGTATGCATGGAATCATGTTCTCCGGCACGGGGTTTGTATGTGATATGAGGTTGTGAACTTCTCTGTGTGCATCAGGGCTTTAAAAGTTTTTTAAAGACGTATGAGGTGATTGTTTTGTTCACTTTATCTGTGATGTATTTGTGGCAATGATTGCCGATAAAGGAGCGCCTGTGGTATGCTTGAGGTGTGATACTGTGTTGGTCACAACAGTTGTCTAGCTCTGAGCAAATAGATGCGGACAAAGGAGCGATGGACTTGAGTTCTAAACAAGCGTTTTGATTTTCTGCTAAAGACAGTTTCTCTAAACTCTTGAAAACTTTTCCCAGTCATCGTCAGTGAAAGGAAAAAAATGCACTGCCTTGTTTGAATTGGATCTTTTCTTCAAGCTCCGCAGTTCTCTTAAAGTTAAAGTTGTTGCCTTGAGGATTGATGCAAGAATGCTGAAACAGCTTTGCAATCATTTTCTGAAGTGACTGCAAAGCTATTTTCATGTCTGCATTATGAGCAGCGTTCTCAAGAAGGCGATGATGCTTTAGCATAATTCCCAACAGAATGTGCAGATATGGAGGAGCAGTTTCACTAGGCTAAGGATCCACATTGATTATTAGGCTATGACAACAATACAGCCTTACATTTTTCTATATCCCTTTCCTGGTAGTCTTAAACTGTTTGTGATCATGCTTCATGCATGGTGGCAAGTTTTGGTGGAATCAGTTGCTACTGGATATTTGTTTTCTTGATTTTTTAAATTTTGCCTGTAAAATGGGTTGTCCTGCTTTTCTTTAAATCAAATTTGAGTTGGAATTATACAGAGTTGTCTTTTAACAAAATGTGTGCTGAGTTTTTGTTCTTATTCTCTAGTGAAAATTCTTGTTGGCTTGGGGACAGTTGTAGTGACTGAGCAAATAATGTGTCGTGTTTGAATACTGGTGATGTGCTGCTGTCTTTTATAACCTTGAGCTGTTTGGATGGCATAGCCGGAGCAATGAGCACGGCTTTGCTTGCCTCGAGGGACTCATTACTCGCAGTCTTTGTCTCTTGTGAGAAGCAGTCCGATTCAAAAATGTCTATTGATGAATGAAAATCTGATGTGTCTGTTTGTGGGGTTGTGTTTTCAAGTGACTGTCCTGTCATGAAAGAAGCTGTGGTTTCTGGTGTTTGAGTTATGCTTTCGTCTGCTGGCGGCGGGTCCAGTGTTTGTTGCGTTGTTGATGTTGAAACTGTTATTTCAGATATTACTGTGTTCTTTTTTTGGCCTGTATTCTTGCTACCCATCCTGCTTTTCTTGTGCTGCAAACAAACAGGACAGTTTTCCGTGGCTACATCATAGCCAGTCCAAAGATATGTGCTGCTTTGTGCCAGCTGCCGAGCTGTCACAACTGCGCCTTGATAGGCGTGTTTTTTAATGTTTCTCAATCTATCAACACAAGAGTAACACAGTGTAGATGAGTGGATGTTCCACTCATCGTTTTTTACAGTTACACCAAATGCCAGGAGAATGTCACAAGCAAAGTCAACACACTTATACATTTTTGGCTTTTGACGTTTTTGTTTACAAGTCAGTGATCTCCTTCCACAGGTCCTGCATAGTTCGTGCGAATTGCGGAGATGCAACTGCTCTGTGTGGGGCTCCATTCTGAGATCAACTAGATTTAAAACAAAACAAAACAGTCCAGTAAGCACTGAACAGAAGACGCCCCTGTAATTATAAACATTAATTTAAAATCTATCGTGAAATCCGAATCCGTAGAATCACATATTGGAGAACGTAGTCCAATAAATATCTAGAGATGTGAACGGGGAGATCGAGCAAAGCTATCATCTTAGCCTATACGGGGGAGAGCTGAGCTTTGAAACACATTGTCGTAAGTTATAGCGTGCGTTGGGAAGGACGCCACAATCTGGAGGAAAAGCGTTACGCAGCCGGGCGGGCGGGGGGGCGTAGCTGCATCACTTTAAATAACTGACAAACACGTGTCGGTCTCTGAACATGTGTGTGGACTAAAGGAACGGTTTTCAGGCTGTTATAGCTTGTCCACTATCAACTGCTGTCCGCGTGAAAAATTCTGCAGGTGGTTGAAGCTTGGGTTGGAGCAGAGGGTTGGAGGGCGCCACTGGTAGGGCCATATATTTTTTTTAAAATTACTTTCCCTCTGTTGTTTCTATGTGTCTTATTTTTTCTCAGCACTTAAAATTTAATGACCATCATTATTATTGTGTTGATGTGTTCCTCTTTACTCAATTAAAAAAAAATATTAATATAATCTATCTCATTTATTAGTTTATTTACCAAGATATATGCCCTTGAAATTTTGCATGGCACTTCTGCAGGCCAACGGCCTAACACGTTTTAATGATTTTATATCTTGAACTAGTAATTGAAATTTCTCTATTGGGGCCCAGTATTAAAACCACTCTTTGGAGGCATACACAGGCTCAATAAAATAAATGATTTACTGTAACCTAGCCCTCGAATTGCTCATTTCAAGACAGCGACGACAACCTGTCAGCACATTTCAGTGTAAACTCGCCGATTCCACCCCACTACTGTCGAGAGTGAGTCTCGAAAAGTACTCGTCCGTCTAGTGTACTAGATCTAGATTCTAGACCATGTTTCTTAGGCGTACGTTAGCGCGTGGTGTTTAGGGAGGTAGGTCAACTTTTTAAAGCTTTAAATGCATCTTGTATATTATTACGTATGATGTGTCTGAACCATAGTTTTCAGTGCCCTGTATGGACGGGCTTTAGGTTCCGTAGTTCATTCCAACTTTTAGACCTGTGTGCAAAAATCTGAGAAGATTAAAGTAAGATGAGATAGATAAATCTTTATTGTCCAAATCCTTGCACGTTGGTTTGGTGTTTCACCTCACGCACACACACATACGAACGCACGCGCGCGCACACACACACACACACACACACACACACATATATGTACGCTCGCAGGTACAGAGCGATTTGATTTTATCTTGCTTTAACCGCAGTTATACAAATGTGAACAAACTATAGCTGAACAGCCGTGTATGAAACTTTTATCGCATACGACGTAAACATGCACGAGTTTATTTTCATTTATTTCCTGCTATATTTGCACCATTTATTGTAAATGGCCTGAAAAAAACATATTTTATATTACTATATTACTAGCAAAAACACCTTTATTTGTCACAGTCGGTTCGTAACATGCCGTAGTCTAATAAAGGGAGAACTCAGTGCAGCCGGTATTCATTATATCCTCGAACCTTCTGGTCTTGACCGTAGTGGCGGCAAAAGCATTTGTTCGTTCGTGGGAGGGGGGGGGGGATTAATGCCTTGTGGTCGGATTCTTTGTCACCATTGTCTATCATCCCCTCAATTTCTGACCCCTACAGTGTTGCAGAGACTGATGAGAAGGCCAGAGTAGCCAAGATCCGAAAATACTCCCAGGCCTTTGTCTGGATGGTCGACGACATGTCCGGCGTCGTTACCCCCCCCCCCCCCCCCCACACACACACACACACACGACCCAGTTTGCTAGGCCTACCAGAATCATGGAGTGCCTTTTCAATATTAGCGTAATTTCAAACCGAGCTTATATACATATATTATTTTAGTCTGTCCGTTCAGAATGAATGAACTGTGATGATTGGGTATTATTTTTGTAGTAACTAGTCACAAATAATAATCACTAATGGGTACCCGCGTCACACGTAGCATATTATGGATCTCAATTTTGACCGAAAGTTTCAGGTTTGACAGTAAATGGTGTCGAATTATTTTTCTTTGCTTTATATATTTTTTTTCTTCTACGCTCTGTCCTGGCACAGGAGTCAAGTTGTCCGCCTTCAAAATGATCTGTACTTAATGGTGTCGAGTATGACATTAATTTCAGCAAGTTTCTGGCTTGCCTGTGACGAACACTGAGGAGGAGATGTGTGTGATCTACACCCAAAACACACCCCTTAACCTAATCTTTATCTTAGTTGTCAAGTTGTCTACCCTTTGGTGCCTTTGCACTGAAAGAGTAATGTGAAATCTTTTTATGCCCACAGTGTAAAAAAATGCCATTGAATCGTAAAAGTAAGTTCAGTTTTGTTTTTTTCTCTTCTCTGCCTTAGTGGAAATATGGCCAGCGCCAGATATAAAAAAAAAATGGTAAAATAGTGTAGGTCTCACATCCCTATCAACACTATTAGGTCATTAAAGATGCAGAACCTATCGAGTTTAAAGTCCATCTCCAAAGAGACTGAGCCAAGTAGGAAGTTCATGTAAAATGCCTTTCCTTAGGATACAATGTCGGACCGAGCTGAGGCTCGAACCCCCATAGCCGCAGTCTCACGATTATGGTAGAAAGGCTGTAGAAAGATCAAGAGCCCAGAGGAGGGGTCAAAGGAGGTGAGGGGGTTGGGGCAGAAAGTGGAGACGAAAGCAGACGACAGAACCTTGCTAGAGAGTAGGAAAGGAGGTGAAAGGAATCAATCTTAGAGAAGAAAATGTTTATGTCACTACCCGGATTCGAACCCGGGACCTTTGAATGGGAGATGAGTACCTTAACCTCTAGGCCAAGAGAGACTCCTATTATTGTCTAATGAATCCCGCCCTTAATTTTTTTTCAGTTGAACGGATAGAAACATGTCTCACAGCTCTACTGACACCTCCAGCCTTAAAGGCAAAAGGAAGAAAAAGTTACCAAAAAATGCCAACCCTCTCTTCACCCAGTGGCTCACAGAGTGGAGAGATCAAGCAGTTGAGAAGGGATGGAAGAGTTCTCATACTTATTCAAAGGTGACACTTTAAATTTCAAACCAGGCTAAAATAAGAAATTTATTGAATTGTTAAGTGTTGTCTTTTTATCACATGACAATTTTGAGCTGTTTGTCCTCAAGTATAACTGTAGCTTTAATGAAGACTGACATTTTAAGTAACCTGCCACAAGTGTTTCCCAGTTCATATTTAAAAAAAAATTAATTAGGAGTTTAAAATCAAAAGTTTTTATTTTGGATTGTATTAAACTCTGGGACACCTGAATAGACATAAGGGTCTTGAACATCTAGCTCTCACTGGCAAAATTGAGGGCAGGCGAGGCAAGGGTAGGCCCAGAACAACATACTTAGGGAACCTAAACAAATGGGTAACAGGGAAAGATCAGGGAAACGTAGCTTTTCTGAGAGCATCCTAGCAAAGGAATGAATGGAAAATCATGATCGCCCATGTCTGTCGCAGATCTGGCACTGGGTGATGATGATTAAACCCTGATCTGAAAGAGGGGGTTCGGGTGGCCTGTGGCTTTTGTGGAGACTGTTTTTTGGGACAGATGGCAGCAACATTCAAAGTTTGAACATTGTTTCTTAAAAAATGACCAAATTATCTTAAACTTAATGTAGATATGAGTTCAGCCATGGCATTTGAAGTTCAGCCCCTATAAAGCTGGAAAAAAAAGCTCACTGTTGACTACATTTTGAAGTCCTTATTTTTCTTTTTGTTCTTTTAGGCACTGAAAACTCTACGTTTATTCCCACTACCATTGGAATCAGGAAAGGACTGTCGACTGCTACAGAACTTTGGTAAGGGTGACTTTCTTGTGGGATTGGTGAGAATATGCTATTTTCCCACACTTTTTTTTACATGCATTGTGATATTGGGCATTTTCATTTTTTTCTTTGGAAGGTGCCCTGAAAGAGCGTTGCTACTAAACTCAGTCATGTCTTTACATGACACATTTAAGTGTACTTCTTGGGAGAAATATTACAGAAAACGCAAGATGAGGGTAAAAAATAAATCTACCCTGTTTCATGCATCATTTTGCTCACATTTACTTTTTATGGATAAGTATCTCAACTGACTGTTCAGAACATATAAAGTTTGTGTTGGAACTTTCAAATCTGTTAGGGTGGCTGGATTCTAACTTGCTTTTTGTATTTTTTACGATCCTGACTGAATGACTTATTTATGAGATGATACATCTGTTGTATCTAACTCAATGCCTGTGACATTTGTTCTGTTCTTTTTGTCAGGTGACAAAATCTGTAAGATGCTGGATGAGAAACTGACAGAGCACAAGTTAAAACAAGGTTAGTAAGAGTAGAGTTACTGGCTGATTAGTCATTGTGTGGTGAGTGGTGAGATAATATATCTTAACTTGGTATTGGACTTCTCTTTCTATCAAATTTACCTCTGCCTGTGTCGTGGGTTTGGTGTTTTTTAAACTCATAGACACAATTCAGAGCATTTAAAAGGTAGGCTGCTTCAACTCCGCCAGGACAGGGCCCAGGGGGTACATCCCATCACAAAGAGGTAGATTTTCAGTAAAATATTATTATCCACACGTTAGAATCAACCTCATGTTATAAGCTTGCTAGTTGAAGAGTGTATCTTGTAACTATTGCACCATAGATGCTGGTCATTGTCAAATGTGTATTGTTGTTGAAAACAATTGTAGACTCTTCGTACGTGATCAGACAGCAGCATGTTTCTTATTATTTAGTCAAAACGAAATTGGCAGAGTCAGGTTTGGAGTTCAGTGTGTCTATTAAAAAGTGGTCTGGCTTGTCCAGGTCAGGGTGTTTTTCTACAATTGAGTGGCAAAAAGGTAGCAAGTATATATTTGAAGACTGCTTTCGTCATACCTGATTTGCAAGAGGGTATTTATACTCTAATTTTTTTCCAACATCGCTGCGGATTTGCCAGCGGATGAGGAAAATATGCCACAACCTGACCAAGACAGATGTTCTAGCCATAATGCTGTACCAAGGACTGTTACAGGGAAGTCAGTGTGTGATCCAATTCCTGGGACCTCTTCCACCTTTACAAGACTGACTGACCAGATGCCCCAGAACACAGCAGCGGCAAGCTCCACGGCCCTGTCTCACGGGGCCAGTGTCCATTCGGAGCCAGCTGTTGATCGAACCAGGATTCACGACATCAGTGACAGTTCTAATGCTGAGAGTGATACAGAAGCTGTTCCCTGTCCACCACCTTCAAAGGTCAGTGATTTATCGGCTGGGACTTTAGAGCCTACTTTTATTAAATACTTGCTCTATAAATCACCTGCTTCTTGTTAGACTCTGCCATGTACGTCGGTAGTCTAGTTGTTGGGCTTCCGGACTCGTAACCATGAGGTTGCAGGTTCGGGGGTTCGAGCCGCAGGCCCAACGTTGTGTCCTTGGGAAAGGCACTGTACAGGAATTTTCCTCACTTCACCCAGGTGTGAATGGGGGCCCAGCCATAGGCAACGAAAGGTCTTGTAAATTGTTTCAGAATGCTATCAGGTCTGCTGGGGTAATGATATAGATTGTGAAGCGCATAGAGCTTGCTGTTGAGTGGAAATTTGCGCTATTCAAATGCTGTTTATTGTTATACGCCATTTTGAAAAGTGACAAGTGATGGAGTCTTCCACTGAGTAGTTGAAATGCTCTAACTTATTGCTCCTCCTCCAGTGGTTGGTGGGCAGGTGCTCTAGTGTGGTTTGCTTCTTCTTTCTTATCAAACCTCTGTCGTCCTTATCTCCCCTTCTGTTTTATGTTTGTTACTCTCTTGTAACACCTCTAATCTTCTGGTGTTCATATGACCTTAAGCAGTTGCGAGCGCCGTAAAACCTCTACAAAAACTGCTCCTCCTCCAACAGTATTGTCTTCCTCCTTACCCAAATGTTAATCACACCCTGTACTGCTACAGGAAACTCATAGACTTCCCACCATCTACAGTATGGTATTCATTGCTGGATTCATTGACAATGTTAGCTGTGTTAATAAGACGGTGAGTTTACAGCAATTTTGCCATATGGTGGTCCCCATATTTCAACTAAAGACAATTATAAATCACATTGCCATCTTCAGAGCACATTTACCTTTGGGTTTTTTGTTTTGTTTCGTTTTGTCTGTTTTCCTTTTGCAATATTTTTGATGGCTGGTGGTGAGCTGCTGAGCAAACAGCATGTGACCTGATGAGATTTGGGGGGGGGGGGGGGGGGGCGTTGTTGTGCCCAGCTCTTCTCTTGATGTCATCAGATCAGGAACTCCGAGGTTTTTTTTAAATAAAAAAAAAATTAAGATTAGTAGGGGGGAAACCCAAGAACAATATGAAAAGGCTATGTAGAGCTGTAAAAATCAGGGTCTGATTGGGACAGTACAAGTCTACCTATTGTCCTAGAATCATGGTACAGTGCAGAAAGCCCTGGTCCTTCTTTTACTCTGACTGGGATGGTTCTGGATGGTGGTCAAGGTTTTTCCACCTGCTGTTATCAGGTTTCTTCCTAGAATGTCATGTCTCCGGTCTTTTAAGCCAGTCCATGCTGCTTTTTATGATACTCTTACTCTTAAAATTTTACACTGATCAGTTTCTTCAGTTTTGGGTAATGGTCAATTTATTAAAAATATATTTGTGCTTTACTTCAGTAAACCTGAGTTTTTTAGTACGTTTTGTTTCATTTATTTTTTAAATTGATATATGTAAATTTGACTGTATACGATCTACATTAAACTTTGTTTTAATGCTTTTTTTTTACCAATTAGAAACGTCAAGTGAGTGGAACCAGAAGTAGAGATTATGTCCCTGTATACCGATCAGGTCCATATGCCCTGCTAATAACTCTTTTCAAGTACATGCAAGTGAGTATGTTTATAGCTGAATGTGTATACTAGAGGAGCTTTTTGTCAAATCACTACATGCTTGAAGTTAGTGGACTTTCATTCTTCAAGGACTAAATAATGAATAGTTTTAAGACATGTGCAATCATTAAGAATTTGCAGGATTTTAAAGTTAAATCAAAAGTTTCCCCATTTTTGTTTCTAGGTAGAGTGTCTAAATCTCGAGTGCAGTTTTGACAGATTTTAAGACTTATTTCTGAGTTTTAGAATAAACAAAGATTGGGAAAGATGGCAGTTTTCTCTGGACTAACCTATAAATAATTGATGAGAATGAAGGCATTTAAGGTCTGAAACGAAATGGATAAACTGGTCCACAGCAACAAAAAAGTTAAAATTTGTTCTTCATTTTGTACCCATTCTCCTCCTCGTAGTTCCACAAATACTTGAAAGCCTGCATGTGTTGACTCTTGTTTCCCATGGCTCCAAAATTCTGCAGTGTCATGAGCAAGCAAGAATTGAATGAAATGCACGGCAAACTGAGTGACATGAGTTTGAACAGCTTTGTGAATAGTATAATAAATATGCTAGAAAATCATTACTATCGACATATTTCAACACTGTCTTGCTTTACCAAGCATTACATATGACCTTTTTATATTTCTTCCAATGACCAAGCCTGTCACTAGTATAAAAGAAAATAATGTAGATGTTAGTAAACTTCAGAAGTAGTGATGCAGGTTAAAATGGTGGAACACTAATGCAAGCTATATTTTTGGTGTTAAAAAAAAAAGGGTTCTGCAAGTATTATAATTGTACTGTAGCGCCCTGGCCCTAAGAGAATTGAGAGCTCTGCAGGTTTTCTTCGTCTATACCTTTTTTGGAAGTGTATAATAGCTTTAGCTGAGGGACGGTCAGAATCATTGCTTATTGTTTGCTGATTTTCCCCACAGGACCTTGACTTTAAAGGTTACTTGGGAAAGACTGAACTCTGCGGTGCTGCCCAGCCTCTGTGTGATAAATCCTTCCTCATGGTGAGTGAAGAAAGTTTTTTGTTGTTACTGGATTGTTTTAACCTCATGGGATAAATTAATCAGAGAAATATTGATAGCGTTTGGAGGGTGCCAAAATGTCATCTATTTTTTCCATCTAGCCTTTTGGTTTTTCAGTTTGTTTGGTCCAGGTATTTTGTAGTAGTCATTGGCAAACTTTGTCTTCATCGAAAGGTAAAGAAATCAAAAGAATAATATTGTATGCCTCTTTTTTTTCTTTTTTTTTTTACTATGTTGTCTTGCAAATGTTTGAATTTTCACTTATTAAACTTAATGTCAATCACTCTCAATCTAAATCTTCCCGTGTCTTAAGTTTCCCTTCCCTCTTTTCACTTGTATAATGAAGAAAATTCAGCTTCGTAAAAGAGGGTCTTAAAATTAAAAAAGCATTTTGTCTTTTTTCCTGAAACCTTTGTGTGTCCACTCTACAGCCTGATCCAGGAAGCAGGTACACAGCTTGGTCTTCCATGGGGACACTCATCAAGAAAGGTCTCATCAACAAGTGTAGCAGTCCAGCCAGGTAATGCTTTTTACACATGTCTGTTCAAGTCTCCTGTGTGCTTTCATCCCAGACGTTCACCTGTTAGATAACAATAACAATGAAAAAGCCTATTTTAACTTGTTCAGGGATGTTTTCGAAACATACCTTTTTTTTCTCCTCTTTTGTGATGAGGAGAGGAGATGCGAGTTGAAGTGCTATGTTGCTCTTTGGTGTCCATCTTTCACTCAGATTGTTCATCTTTTCCTTTTTCTTCCTGTGCCTTTACTGTTCAAAAATCATACTTTGAAGATCTTGGCAGCATGTAGATCTGACAACATTATCTGCTTTTGTACTTTAATTCATTCATAGATAGTGTGCTAGTTTCTTGTTTTTGTTTTTAAAAATGTATTTGTTTGTTTCTCTGCTTTTAACTTTCTATATTTTTCCCATTTTATGATTGTATATTGTGTTCTCTCCTCACACCTTTTCGTCTTTTACCACCAGGTATTCACTTTCTGACACTGGCTATGAGTTAGCTGAGAGACTCAGTTTGGCAGAAACAGTGAGGAGGGCATCAGCTGAAAACTGCCATGAATCTTCCGCCTCGTCTTCCGTTGTTGATGTGAATAGCTCAAAAGCATGCGAAGTCTCACCTTTTGACAGGTGTACAGTAGCAGATCAGGCTTTAAGACCTGAGCCCAGCAATAGTTTAGGACAGTCTTATTCAACTAAACTGACCACAGAGTCTGCTCGTGAATTTTCAGTTAGCAGCACAAGTGCTAACTACCACGAGAAAGTTTCACTCTCAACACAAGATGAGCGAGTGTCAGGTGTGGATGTTGTAGTCCTTAGTGATGATGACGAGGCTGATTTTTGTGGCGGTTCGTCTCGTGATGAGGAAGTGTTAAAAGATTGGCCTCCTGTCAGAGAAATCCATTGTGTGTCACCATCCCCGTCTCCCCCACCTGTTTGTTTCTCTCCTGGTCTGGATGTCTCTTTGGAACTGCAGCCTGCCTCACCTATTGGGGATCATCATCATGAAGCTCAAACATCCCCAGGAAACATTGTCATTCCTTATTCAAAAGCTCCCAGCCATAACTCAGAAGCTGTTTCTTTACAGGCTGAAGAGAATGTGTTTGAGATTAGTGATGATGATGGTGAAGCAGACAATGACAGAGGAGGAAAGCAGCAGTGCCCGAGTACTCATTCCCAAAGTGATTCGGATAGCGATGAGCTCCCTGATCTTGATATTCCTTTATCAAAACGCTTGTTGCTCAAAGGCAAGGTGCAGTCTCAGCTTCTCTTGAGTACACAAACGACTGCGACGGGCACAGCTACGTCTGTATCTTCGACATCTGGTCCCACACCTGCTGCATCTCGGCGGAACAAACCGCCATCATCGGTGAGTGACAGCACCCAGGTGCATGCTCCCTCACAAACATCGCAACGCTCTACCTCTAGCGCTCACATCTCTGAACTGGAAAAGAGACAGGATGCAGTACGTGTGGATCCGTGTGTGAAAGACAACGAATTCAGTGATATTCAAACCCTCAGTTCTTATGCTCACAAATATCAAAGCACAAGGGGTCCAGTCTGTGATAAAGATATTGAGATTCTTGATTCTGATGGTTACAACAAATGTTCTTCACAAGCACAGTTTGGAGTGTCGGGCTCTGTGGACAGATCCAAAGGCCTTCCTTCGTCAGTGTGTGGACTGGAAGTGTCATCGAGTAAGATTGGAGCAGCAGTAACAGTTTTATCTCCCCAGCAACTGTCCCCACAGTTCTCCTTGTCTCCAGGCTCCTTTGATGTTGTGTTATGTATAGACAACAGGGAGTTTTATGGAAGGTAAGTTGTCAGATACAACAAATTATTTATGTGTGAGTTTTTGTAAAACATTCTATTGTCTGTCCTTTGCCCCAAGATTGCTGTTTTATATTTGTTAACAAAGATTTTTATGGAAGTGTCGGACATAATTTAGATTTTAGTTTGTACTGTACTGAATCATTCTGTTGAAAAATTGAACAGTCATCAGGCAATTGAATCTCCTAATTTTGTCAAGCACTTCGATACTGCTCTCAATTTCACAAGGTTCTTTTTTTTTTTTTTTTCGTAGATTGCACTTTACTTATTTTGTAACAAACTTGTCTATGGAAGCGTGTAGATGTTTTGGGTTGTTGGTTTTTGGGGTTTTTTTTGGTGAGAGCTCTTTCATTAAAAATTTTAAAAAACAACTGTAATTGTTGTTTTGCTTCCTTACCTCATATATTGTCATCTCTTTGTTTGAGGAGAATTTTTTGAGGTTTTTATTTTCATTTCATTTGAGAAGAATTTTTTTAGGTTTTTATTTTCATTTCATTTGAGAAGAATTTTTTGAGGTTTTCATTTCGTTTGAGGAGAATTTTTGAAAGTTTTTTATTTTTATTTAATTGTTCTAGTAAAAGTAACAGCAAGACCCTGCTACCTGAGTTGATGAAAGCTGGGATTCAATGCGACCTCCGTCTGCTTCATGTGGGAGACCTCCTGTGGGTGGCAAGAGAGAGAACTCCACCAGGAAGCGCAGGATTGAATGGGTCGGTTGGACATTTTTGGAAACTGAAATTGTTTACTGATTGCTCACATTGCGTACATGATTTTGGTAGCTGGTTGTTATAATGTTCTTTGCCTTTTGTGTGACTGGAAAAAGTGCCAGCTTAAATATTTGATGATTTACTCGTTTCTTTAAAAAAAGAAGACCATCTTACAATTGTATTTGAATATGGACTGGTAATTTCCACAATGTATGAACAAAAACATCCTGTTAAATAGACTACTCTTCAGATTGTTGTTTGATGTCTTTGTCTCTGTCACTAATGACTAAAATTGTGCAAATTGAGTTAGTGCCGCGGTACTACCTGATCAGAGGAAAAGAACAAGGGTCTGACTGGCTGCTTAGTGTATTCCTCCTCATCAATTCTTTTATTTTAATCATTTCAGCTCATATTAATTTTTTGAAAATATGTTTCTGTGTTTTCAGGGGTAAAGGTAGAGAGCTGGTGTTGAATTACATTGTGGAGAGGAAAAGAATGGATGATCTTGTGAGCAGCTTGTCTGATGGTCGGATGAAAGAACAAAAAGTATGCACACATCTTGTCTTTGTGTATCTTTACAATGAAGCTCTGTTTCATATCCTTTGTGAACATATTTTACCCGCGTGCATAACTATTTTCTTTTCTTTTCAATTTTACTTTGTATATTAGTGTACAGAAATTGGATTATTGCCCTCCCTAATGATGTGGGCAGAGTGGTAGTATTTTTTGCAGCTTGACTGCTATGACATTATTTAGAATGGAAAACCCTTTGAAAGATAGTACCTTTATTGCTATTGATGTAAGATGATGTTCACATCTGTTTTCTTTTTAACATCACATCTATCTTTTTGTCAGGGAGTTTGGGGGGGGGGGGATGTTGACATCTTTCCTGAAGCACACTACAGTGTGTCTTTCTTTTTTAGCCAAAGATTATTTTGGTTTATAATAATGTATACTTTTCATTAGTCTCTTAGTATTTCAATAAATTCATTAATGTTTCATACATTTGTACTTTTTGTATACATCTGTTTTTATTGTTAGTATATATCTTTTCAGATATAACACATGCATTGTCAAGCTAGTTCTTCTGTCACTGCGCTGGAACGAAAATAAGGAGTTTGTTCTTCTGAGGAGTGAAATTTTTATGTATTTGTTCGACAGCACCAGTCATATAAACTTTATAAAATTGTTTTTTTCCACAGTTTCGACTAAAGCAAAGTGGTTTGAAAGATCTGATTATCTTAATAGAAGAACACGGCTCCATACAGAATTTCAGCATTTCTGAGGAAAGGATTAGGCAATCAATAGCAAATTCACAGGTAAAAGCTATACCTCAATGTGATATATTGCCACTGTCTTTAGAAAGATCAGTTACTGTAATGAATTTTACTCACTCTTTACAGCAAAGTTAAAGCTTTTTTTGGTGACAGTAACAGTATGTACATTTTCACAAATTATATATAATAGAGTACAGTGGAGCTTGTTGAAACTAAAATTTGCAGGACCATTAGATTGTGTCTGGTTTTACTGCGTTTTTGGTTTAGAGAGGTTGCATAAATCGAAGGAAAAACATTGAGGATTTTATTTTCTTTCAGTTTACTGCTGTTCTTGGATTAACTGTTCACTTTAAGCGGACTCCACTGTATTTTCCATTTCTGAGAAAGTTTTTTTTTTAAGTCGTAGTGTTTTTAAAGTAATTGTTTTTAGCACACTTATTACTTGCATTTTTTCCCCACTTAGTATATTGTTTGTGATTGCCATTGCTGGTTTGGGACTTGATTAATCACATCATTCCAGGGCTAGCTTTTGTGTGCATGTCATCCTTCCTTCATAATGAAAGATCTTCATAAAATGTTGAGCAGTGTTCCTGACACTTTTATACATGCTTCAATTACACTTTAGATTCATTTTTAAAAAATTACATCACAGCTTTTTTTTCTTTTTAGAATGTCTTTTTTTTTTTTAACCGAAAAAAATGTACTGTGTCCTCACAAGTTCATTGGTAGTTGTTTTTTTAATGTGATGGAAAAATTCTGAGTAGACAGGCTATGGCTGCAAAGACATTTGTGTGACATTGTAGTGAAATAAGACGCTTGTCAAAATAATGAAATTTAAGAAACCCGACATTTCTCCACCCGTTGGCGGGCAATATTTAATTTTCTTTATTGGACTCCTCTTATGTCCGTTTAAAAACACATTTCTGTGTGGATTTTACTGTAAAAAAACATTGATCAAAGGTACAATTGATGTACATTTGCAGTTTCTAAGTGCACTCAAACTTTGGAAGTCATCAAACTTTGGCGTCCATTTTCTCACTAATTTTACACCTGACACCAGGTGACCCCCACATCCTTCAATGGCAAATATCTTGATTTCCATTCCAAATAGAAGGTATTTTTTTGTTTTCACGTAAAGCAAGGCAAATGAACAGGCTTTGAGACTATACCAATAACTCCAAACACACCACATAATGATGAGCGCTTGGTTCCATTATTGTGTTGTGACACATTTGTTTTTATTCCCAGATAATCGATGGTTTCAAGGTCAAACGATGTGGAGGCCCCAAGGATGCTGTTATTTATTTGACAGCTATGACAAGATCTTTGCAACAGCATTTTACTGTGAGCACATACAATCTCATGCTTATTGCTTTGGCAATATTTTTTGGTTATTTTTTTTTATTAGACTTGACTTTTTTCGTATATGTGTATTTTGAAGCTGATTCAGCACTTAAAAGAAAGTCTACCTCTTGTGCCTAATTTGTTGATTGGCTGAAATACTTAGCCTTGTGTTAAAGTTTATATATGTAATGTGACTATGTCATTCATAATGTGCTGGTAAATAGCCATAAAGAGTTGTTGAAAATTTGGTCTAGGAATCAGAGATATTTGTACTTTGTGTGGTTAAACTTGAAATATGGTGATGCGTAATTGGTCCTTATTTTACCGTTTTGTTTTTAATTCAATTGCAGAACAAGACTTTGCATGCTGTGTCTGTAGATCAGCTGAAACAACTGCCGGCGAGGCAAAGCCCACAGAACAGCGATCATTACATGTTACCTTTTGATAGCTTCAATGAAGCTTCCGTTAAACAAAAGGTTAGCTCCTTGTACACCAAAGTTAGAATCTTAGTGTATGTATGTATGTATGCACTGATGTTGGTTTTTTTTAATAGGTTGAGGGGTCTTTTTTTTTCAACTTCTTTCACTGGATTAATGAATTGATATTTTCATCACTGTAGCCAGTATGTTGGAAAACATTAAAATAAATTTGAGGAAAAAAAAAATGTAGCATGCAGCTTAATCTGCTTTGAAATTTGGGTATATTATTACAAGAGTGTGATCCAGTTTAGTTTACTCATGAGCGAGAATATGTTTAAAGCTTTTTGAACTGAGCTATGTGTTATGTATATTGAATGATGAGATTTTTTTGTGGGTGGAAAATACATTTTACTACATTTTGTGTCAATGATGAGGGACATAATTCATGATTGTGTTTGTTTTCCCAGGACTTGGCTGTGAGAGAATTGTTTGCTAAACAACTTGTGCAAGTGCCTGGTGTGTCGGCAGAAAGAGCTAGGGCCATTACCAACTTTTATCCAACCCTCTCCTCGTAAGTTTTACCATGTCCATGTCAAGTGCTTAAAGTGCTGACTTTTTAGATGGAATTTGTACTATTTTCTTTTTAAGATTACATTTCAGTTTTCAAATTGTACTTAATCGATTTAATTTGTATAAATGCATACTCAAAATTTGTGATGTTGAATTATGAATTTTCATATTTTACATTTGTTTTTACTGAACTTACCTAGTATGTTTTATAGACATCAGATTGAGCCATGAATTTAGGGAAGTGTTTAGACAGCATTTAATATATTGTGTACTTGATTACATCAGTGGAGTCCCCTTTTAACGAGTCTTGAAATAACGAGAAGTCAGTTGTAAGGACACTATTCTAAAACCCCGTTTTTTTTCCTTCTTTATCTCTGTAAATAAAATACTGCTATAACGCAATCAGACAAACACACGAGTCAGTTATAGCGGAATTCTGTTGCTGCTGTGCACAGCGCGTAGGCCAATTATAATGTAAAACCTCGCCCGTTGAGAAACATGTTGGTGATCTTGTGAAACAAAGAATGGGTGAGCCCACGTGTGCCGACAATGAAGGCTGGAGCGAATGAGTGGAGAGAGTGTAGCATGTGCCAACAAGCAGAACGCATCACGTGATAGGCCAGCTTTGTGTAGATTATCTAGGCCTACCATGCCTATCACTTCTCTGATGCAGAGATGGTGAGGTCACAGTGCTGTGATGGATGGAGCGAATGTTTGACGTGGACAGGGTGTGGTGTGTACCTGTTGTGCGCAAGCAGACGGAACACACCACAGGGTGTGATGGGGTGGGGGACAACACAGTGGGCGAGTTAGCCTAGAGCCCTTCCTTTCAGTGGGAGAGATCAAGCGAGCTCTAACTGGGTGGTGTATGCGGGCTCCCAACAGGCAGTCGGCGTTGTGATTGGCTAGTCCAGTGATGAGAGAGGTGAGATTGGCGGTAGGCCTTGAGAGATGGTGCGGAGAGAGAGAGAGAGAAAGAAAGATGGTGCAGAGAGACGCATTACGTGAACCACTCCAAAAGTGATGTAGATCTATGCAGGGGACCATCCCTACAGCAGGACCGTACCGGAATCCCTATACATGTATATTTATATGCAAACTCATTTACCTGTGCTTGGGTTAAGCGGGGCAAGGAAAGGCCAGAACTTGGATACAGCGGGAGCGATTGAGTGAGCTCTAGCTGTGAGGATGGGGGGGTGGGGGGCTGTTGGCAGGATCCGAATAGGCAGTCAGCAGTGCGCGTTGTGATTGGTCAGTCCAGCGATGAGTGAGATGGGGCAGGCGGATGGTGCGGAGAGACATGTTACGTGAGCAACATTACAAAATTTTAAGTGATGTGCTATAGCCTAAATGCTCAACACCGTATAAGAGCGTATAGGCCATAGCCCTAGGCTAGGCCAAAAAGTAAAAGAAGAGGAGAGTGTGTAGTGTGTGATTCCTAATTCATTGAAATGCAGTCGTTGATGCTCAGGCATACGGGCACATCCACTTTACCAGTTCTACAGTAGGCCTACCGGTACGATAGACAATAAAAGCAACCAACCAAGAAAAGGATGACTTCCAACAAAGACTAAAGGAATTGCTTCTCTCTCGAGTTAACGGCTGAGATACTCAACGAAGTTGACAATAAAAGGAAGACTAATATAAAGCGCAAATTTTAGTGATATGGAAGGGATGTAATCATGTAGATATTTAAGAATTTTTTTTCGGTAATTTCCCCTTTGCATTTCTATAGCGGGAACTTGCCTATAGCTGGATTTTTCTTCTGGAACCAAAAGTCCCACTATAGCTGTGTTGTACTGTATAAACAGAACACCAAATTCATAGATTAGGCCTACTTTATTGTTTTGAATCCTGCTATAACAGATATTTCGCACCAGTCCCCTCCCTCTCATTATAACAGGATTCCTCTATAATCATATTGTGGCTCTGTGACAAGCTGTCGGACAATGAACATTTCGGGAAGTGTTTCATAAAAAGTTAATGGTCTTCAAAGGGCAGACAGGTTCGATTGTTTTGAGTAGATGATCAAAAAATGTTCCACGGGCGTGGCAGCATAAAGAAAGGTTACAGATTCAAGTTTTAATTCTTTGAACCTGGAGTGACACTATCAACGTTGAGTTTTGGGTACAGTAGACCCTGAAGTAGCGCTCCCAACGTTGATTAACTATCACACTGTGTCCCTCATTTGAGATATGTGGGAACCCTTGTATGCTTTTAAATCACTTAGTTTCATTTTTTGGTCATAATTTGAAGTGTCACTACTTCCTGGGTAGGTTCAGTTGAGAGAATATTGACTTTGAAGTTGAAGTGCAGAGGGCGAAAGTCCAGCACAGGTGGAAAATAAACCTCTGGGTTCAAAGTGTTAAGAAAATTTGTTTGCTATTTCTCAAAATGATTTGTAATAAATTGTTTGAATTTCAGGCAACATTTTAAAAACCTTTTGGTTCAAAACTGGTTTTATCTTTCCATATTTCATAAATTGCACTGAGTCTATTTTCTACAATATCTCAAAATAGCCTTCTACTTCTCTGACAGGTTTTCTAGGAGCCATGCACAAATAAATGACTTATTTTTTGGGGGATGCCCTTTCTTTTTCCTCTTTGCATTTGCCTTTCACAGGTTACTGCAAGCCTACAATGGATGTAGCACAGAGAAAGCGAAAGAAAGTCTGCTTTCCACAATCAAATGCGGCAAGAATGACAGGTATTTTATTTCAGAAAAGAGAAATATGATTGATGTCAAGACTTAATTGTTAAATGATTTCAGAATCTTATTTCTTAGAGTTCTTTAATCTTAGAAAGAGTAAACCCTGATTTTTGTTTTCCTGACTACCGTAAGACCACATGCCACCGACTGCAAATGAGCACTGTTGTGATATCTTGGATGTGTACATTGTTTTATTTGCAGCAGTTGATTCATTACTCAATTTTTATCTACCGATGTCTTGATAAGTCCAACTTTTTCCCCAGACTCATCCTTTCCTAGTAAGGATTCTGAGAAACTCCCAGTTTTGGATTTTTAGGGGTTGTCAAGTCTGAATTTTTGGTCTCTAGTAACTGGGAGTTTGAGTAGAGTTTTCACTCTCTCTACTTTATTTGTAGAATCCAAATTCCAAATTGTTACATTTTCTAAGCCCATGGTTCCAATTCTGGATGCTAGGCTTGCAGAAGATATAGGAATTTGATTCCCATGCAGGTCGACTATTTTATCAAGTGCGATAAAATTTACTCGGCTACCTATCCAAGACAATCACTTGTACAAAAAAAACCCACTCCCCACTTCTCCTGTACTCTTTTTTTTTCTATCAATTACATGTGTATAATAACATTGCCCAAGAGGACCTTCTGTCTAAGATGACTACGTTTCAGACTTTTTCTCTTCTGTTTGAATAGTTTCCCACACAGCCCCAATTTGCCCTTACAGATGGTTTGAATTGGTCTAAATCCTGTAATCTCCCCAACAGTTTCTTAAATACTGTTGCCCTGTGCTATAGACCATTTTCTCTTATACTCTTACAGCTGAACTGTGCAAGGATTTGTCACTTGAGTGTTGTTAATTTCACGCCTAATGAACTGAAACATTTACAATCACACATCCAGTTCAGGATGTCAGCAAAAGTAATTTTTTTTTTTACATGTATGAGGTTGGCCTTCCTTGGATTTTCCAACTTTCTGTCTGTTCTTTTCTTCTGCAGGAACTTGGGTATTGCTGTCAGCCGACTCATATCCTTGCTCTACACACAAAGTGGCAGTTTATCTTGACGAAGTGTATTATGAGCATAGACAGACATGTTATTTATAATGGAAAGCATTATTAGTGAACTCCTGTCTCTTATTAGTATAGCACATTCTTTGTGCGGTTATAGCAGTTGTAGGTTGTAAAATGGAAATGAAAACATATGTGAACAATGGTTATAAAAGATGAAATTAAAGTACTTTTACTTAAGTATTTTTATCTTTTGTAGGTGTCCTTGTGTTTATTTTTTAATTCCTTCTGATGTTGATTTGGTCATTTTCACTGCTCTTGAAGAAAAGTCACATTAACAAAAGTACTTGGAAATGGTGTATAATTTTTACAAATATTTTAACCCTTTGTTGCATGAGGTATGAAGATTACCTAGAAAGCTGAAATTTGGTATGTGACCTGCATTTGGCATTACATTACCATCTCAAAAGTCATTTTTGACAAATTATAATCGTGGAGCCTGTAAAAAGTTGTCCAAAATATTGGACGCCATGAACTTGAGAGGATTTCCTTCCTAGTCAGGTGTCCAAAATATTGGACGCAATGTGTTGTGGTTACCTGTACCTATTGCTACACATTCAAATAAACTCATTTGAAACAACAAATAGAACATCTGAACATCCTAATCAAAAAGAAAAATCGAACTGTTGATAGAATTACAATTTATTTGATTTTTATCAAAACACACTTGTTCCCTTCAAGATCAGAAAGTTAAAAATAGTCATTTTTCATTCTCATCCTTGTTTAAGATAAACCGATACACATTGCCTTTTCTTCACCTTACTACTCTGTATTTTCTTTCTACACATTCACACACTCTTTCTCTTTACTTTATCAACAAATACTCATAAACAGACTGAGAACTACAATGTATTTGTACTACTATGGCATTCTATTCATGATGGAAAAGGTAAAAACAGTCCTCAGTCTCATCCTTGCTTGAGATGCACAGATACACACTGCACTCTCTGTACATGTACACACTCTTTCTTTTGCACTGAAGCCTTTCGCACCTCTGACCGTCTTTCACTTTCATTCGTTTTGGAAAGTGATCTACTCTGTTGTAACTCAGATCAGGAAACTCATCCTTTGCCGAGAGTGATCTCACAGGAATCTCAGGAAGCATGTCTTTATTCTGAGATGCTCGGTTGGCAAGGATAAGCTCCCTAGCAACTTGTAGCTTGAATGCAGCCATTTGCATAAAGCAATTATCTGCCTTCAAAGCCCTGTTCAACAGCCAAGCATTGGTTACACACAGATCTGTCAGATGAAGCAAAATGCGTTTATACCACTTTTTTGATTTCATGCAATTTCTGTAAAGGGCCAGGAGCATGTCACATTTATCAACCCCACCCATATTCTGATTTTAGCTTTTAATGAGCTCAGGGCAGGAACATCAATATGTTTTTTAGCCTTCCCATCCCACCTCTTTACCTTGTGAGTTGGTTCGACGCTGTGCACATTTGAAGCAACAATAATAATAATAGATAGCATTTGTATAGCGCAAATCCCCGCTCAACAGCAAGCTCTATGCGCTTCACAATCTATACTATTACCCCAGCAGACCTGAGAGCATTCTGAAACAAACTCAACTTCCTGGGAAGCATACAGTGCAAGCAGCCATTTATAGGCGCTAAAACACTAACATACTGACAAGATCTTTCACTGTCTATGGCCGGGTACCCATTTCCACCTCGGTGAAGTGAGGAAAATTCGTGTAAAGTGCCTTTTCTCAAGGACACAACATCGGGCCCACGGCTCGAAACCCTGACCCCGCAACCTCACAATTACGAGTCCGGTAGCCTAACCACTAGGTCACCGACGCCACACACAACACGAACAACTTTATTGTCAAACCATTGACAGATAAGGATGGAGCTATCTGTGTCTGTTCTAAAGTCAAAGACCCCTCTTCCCTTCTTCTTTAAGTCCTTCGTACAAAGCAAAGGGCAACCTCTTGCTCTGTTTGCTCTCAGTGTGGATTTGGCCTGGATACCCACTTCCTTCAATGCAACATTGAGATCGGGAGAGGCAAAAAAGTTGTCAAAATAGACATGTGATCCTGTTGGCTGAATTTGCACAAGGAGCATGACGATTTCCCCAGATTTACCAATATTCAGCGTTTGATCACTTGACCACAGTGAAGAAGAGGGAGAATCTTCTCAAACCGGTTAACAGTCATGCTGTCTGCGACAATGTCCTGTCTCGTATTCGGAGACCAGTACCAGCGTCTAAAAGGCAAATCTACTATTCATATATACAGACAAATGCCAATAAATGTTCTCATTTCTTGGACGGTTGGATGACTTTAACTTGTCCACATCCAATTCTTAGTCGGTTTGACTCAAAGGTAAGTTTGTCCCAAATATCATTACTGAACAAAACATTGAACATCTGGAGGGGCGTCTTTCCTTCTTCAGCCAGACCTCTTTATGTGAGTTGACTCTGGATTGTTGTGTTCAGGGAGGTCTTTTTTTACCCAATGCCAGGTACGTCTTTGAAAAAAAAAGAAGAAAAAAACAATGTTTCTAATTTGTTGATGTGCAAATGAAACAGAAAAAAGCATGGAATATCACAACTAGGACAGGGGCATAGGAGAAAAAAAGCATGGAATTTGACAACCAGGACTGCGGTAGGAGTAAAAAGCGTATTTTGGACATGTCTATTTTTAGCAACAGTTTCTAAGTTCATGGTGTCCAATATATTGGACGCTACAAAATGGTTGTTTCCTCTTGTGAATGCATGTTGTCCAAAATTAGCTGATTTTATGCACTGTCCAAAATATCGGATGACATGCAATTTTCAGTGTAAAACAAAAAATGTATTTGTAATTATTTCAAATAACACTTGATATTGAAAATTAAAAGATTATGATAAGCTTTTTTCTTTAATACAAACGAAACCCAACAAAATCTGACAGAGAAGTTGCTCACCTTTTCGCTGATGGTGTGGCCATCTTTGTGTTGTGATGGAAACAGGGCTGCCAGTTTTTTATCTGGTATGGGGCCAACAATATCACAATTTGGGGCCAAACCATACTTAACCCACCCACCCC